TTGAGCTAGATCCCAAACTTCAAATTCTAATTTGCAAAGAATATTGTTGATAACAATACTATTTTCATGGTTCTACAATCTATCACTATAGGATGGACCGTTTCTCCAAGTACTCTCTGACTTTTTAGTACCTTAGTAGTTGAGCTTTATTTTCGGATTATACCTGTTACGTTTTTTTCTTATTATTGCTTGACTATAGGGATTACGTTTTATTTGTTCTTAACTTTTTTTTGTAAGTTTTTTAATAATTTCTATGGATCTCTAAGTTTTATGATATTAGTAGCTTCATTTCTTAGAAATATGAACAAACATGTGTAGCATAGATAGACTACATACATAATAATATAAACACACAAAAGCCAGTAGGACTGGCCTTTTTAATGTACCTTCAAACCGTTCGTTGCACTACTGCACTCCTTCACCACACCCAATTTGAGAGAGTTTGAGAGAGATAGCATGGAAACACATGAAAACCCCTATATAATGCATAGATAGACTTATACTGTAAACAAAAAATTAAGTTAGACTCACTTTTCAATCTTCCTTCCAACCGTACCACTGAAAGAAATAGAATTTATCATTCACTTTTCAAATGATAGCACCAGTATACTGAAAGTAATTGATGGATTTTCTTATACCCCATTCAATGCCTCTTGGGTTCCTACGAAATATGTCTCCTGGTATTCAAACTTTAAATTTGACTACTGCAATGCTTGACCATGTATCAGTTACTTGTCTCATTTGCTTTTATTATAAATTGTAAGTCATACAGTCTATTAAAAATACTTATTATAAATTTCTATTACATGTGATTGAAATTTGCCTCCACATATTTATCACTTATATTCTCTCTCTGGTTGCAGCCTCCATTTCAATGCATGGACAAGATTCAAAAATTCAACTGCTGGAACACGTACGAAAGGGGGAAAATAAGAACAAATGAAACTCTAATTTTTCCAAATTGTAACTTATTATAATGTATTTGTCATTACAATGTATAGGAGAAGACGGTGGTATCCCTGCCTAGAGTCAACACGTATAATTTGCCACCGTTTTTCTACTAAGTTTTGAGTTCTCAAGTAATGTAATTCAAACGGGCAAAAATGGCCCATTGGGTACACTTATAATTGACACTTTTTTTTTCCATATTCGAAATTATTATATAATGAAATTCCAACTGACAAAAGATAAATGGACACAAAGGCTGCCTTAATTGCTACTTAACAGAATTCATTAAAGTTAACGGTGGAAAAAGTGAAACAAGAATTTCTGTCAATGCAATAACTTCCGTTTCTTAAACAGTTTTTATATATAGAAGATAGTTTGGAATTAGCGTTAATTAACTCTTGGTTAATTATATTATTCAAACATATTTGAAGTTCAGCCAAACCAGATTACAACAAGACACAGAAAACCAGTCCCCACACTTGTACACAGTATACACAACGATTCGAAACATTTGACTCGAAATTTTATTGAAAATAAAACCCAAGTTGTTGTAATTAATTTTCTTCAATTTCAATAGTTTTTTTCACTGGCACCTTCACCTTCTCTTTTGGAACAGTAACAGTGAGGACACCGCTATCCATGGAGGCCTTAAGTTGATCAACTTTAGCATTCTCCGGCAGCCGAAACTGGCGGCAAAAACTGCGGCCACGGTTGCGCTCGACGCAATGCCATTTCTCAGTATTTTTATCAGAATCCTCCACTGATTTCCTCTCCCCACTGATTTGCAAAATTCTTCCTTCACTCACTTCAACCTTCACATCCTCTTTGCTTAGCCCAGGAAGATCTGCCATGAAAATGTGAGCATCTGGGGTTTCCTTCCAATCAATTGGTGTACTCAAAACTGGGCACATATTGATCAGAGAAATAAAAGAGTCTGTGTTGGTAAATAAATTGCTTATGAGTGACATTTTTTGGATGAAAGTTTATGCAAGAAAAAGGTATGCAGATTTGGGATTTAATGCTTTGAATAATTTATAGGAAGAAGAATAATGAGTATTGGTTTCTTGAATCTTCTAAACGTTTTATTTCTTAACCTAAAATAAGGTTTTGCTCCATCTTTCTACTATGTTCGGTCTGAAACTCGAACATTCTCAATTTCTCTTGCGCCATCTTATCAGTCTTGAATTATTGCAATTTGCTACTTTTGGAATTACTGTTAGGCCTGTTTGATTTGACATCATTTTTACCATGGAACTTGAAAATAAAATTCCATTTTCTACCAAATGGCATGTTTAATTGGAAATTTTTTCTTAACAATTCATTTTCTTGGTTTTGGCTTACACGGTGCCAATTCATTGATTTTGAGGAAAATCAATTCCTCCTGTTTACTTTTTTTTTTCTTTTAATTTTTTGTTGGCAATGAAAATAAATTTTATCCTCAATTGCAATAAAGTCCTAATAGACGGAAAATGAGAATCAAATGGTAGGTATGTGTGATATGGAGCGTAATATTCTTTACAGCAGATTTATAGAAAAACAAATTTGTGATTAGATTTTGGGAATTTCTTGGTGGTTGATTCAAGGGAAAGACGATGTGGTGTATATTTTGGTTTGGAATATGAAATTATACGATTTTAGGGATTTTGTGATTAATTTGACATGTTAAGGGTGTGTTTGTTGGAGCTTAATTTAAGGATGAGTTTGTTTAAGGATGGCAACGGGATGGGCTCCTAGCCCTGTTACCCGTTTAGGGTAGGGTAGGGTAAGGTAGGGCGGGGCGGGGCCCTTGCCCCGTTTACTACCCGTTTAATTTTTTGTTTTTTGAAGTTTTTGATAATTTATTTTTGTTGCTCATATTCATTAGATTTAGACAATCACGTTTGCTACCCGTTTAATTTTTTTTTTTTTTTAAGTTTTTGATAATTTATTTTTATTGCACATATTC